TGAATTTACTTATAGATGTATTTAAGTATGTATGTAGATACATACATTTAAAGTGTGACTATACATATGTATGTATGTATGCACATACATAAATAAATAAATATATATATATATATATGTACAAATTTGTGTAAATACATAAATATGTACATATATACATATATACGTATGTGTATGCATATACATAAGTATATTCACACTTGAAATGTAAATGCATAATGTGTATTCACAGTTTAATATATTATGTATATTTTCATAGTTTAATTTTTATTTTACCTTTTTTTTAATTTCTTCAGTTCTTTGAATATAAAATAATATGTTTTGAATTTGTTTATTCACATTTGTTTCTGTTATTAAATTAAAAATCAAAACTAAAAAGTTTATATAGTAGAATATTATTATAATCAAATATTTTTTTATAATCATGTGTTACCTTCCACTGTAGAATGTTTCTTTGTTTCTAATCATTAGATATTCCTTTAAGGTTTCTGATACTATTCTTTGTCATTAGAGGTCTTGTATTCTTTCCTGCAAATGACATATTTCTATTAAAATTCACAGTTTAATGTTTGATGTATACAGTCAAATACTAATAGGAGTCATCATTCATATTTATCTTCCTGTAATATATTTAAGTAACATATAATTTTTACATTCACATTCTAAAAAAACATATATATGCATTTTCATTTTCGAAAATATCAAAATAACATTTATGTTTATATTCACAGTTTAATAAATTATTTATAGTAAATCTAACAGTATCACCTTAAAATATATTAGAATCATATATAACATTTACCATCAAACCTGTATTAAAATCATTTATATACATATTTTTTTAATAATTTAACATTTTCATTTGTAATAAATCATATATGAGTTTGTAATGATATGTTAACTGTTAAACATATCATATATATAAAAAATAACATAGATTAAGATGACCTTTGATTTAAAAGTTTTTGTAACAGTGTCTTATATATATATATATATATATATATATATATATATATATATATATATATATATATATATATATATATATATAGATATATATATATTTAAACATTATAAGACACTATGCATTTTTCGTTAAACATTGTAATAAATTTCAAAATAAAATACCTTGTGTTACTTCGTTCACTTTGACTCTGATCGTCCATGTAGGTTTTCCTTTTGAAGAAATGTTTTCCGAAACATTTTGTTTTTCCGTTTCGACATTGTTGATTGTCAGATGTTTGTTGTCGAAATCTTCGATTTGGGACTTGAAACTTTTTTTGCTTCTACTTGTTTCTCCAGGGTTTTCTTTTTTATTTCTTCTTCGGATGTTGTTTTTTCAGAAGAACCTGTAGTTGATGTAGTTCCTTTAGATTTTGAAGACATTTTCTGCTTGAATTTTTGAAGAATCGGTGGATTTTTTAGATTCAGTGTTTGAAATGAAGATTTGTGTATGTCGGTTTTTTTTTTTTTTTTTGAATTTTTGAAGAATCGGTGGATTTTTTAGATTCACCGCCTTTCGTTTGTTTTTCTATTATTACATTTATAGCCCCTGTCTTATTTAAAGTGCGAATATAGCTATGAGACTTTTTAATGAGAATTTTTGTTACTTTCTTAACTACCTAAATTGTTAAAAAAAATAAAAATAATTGTTTTATTTACAAAAGTGTCACAGGTCATTTATTAATAAAATAATTTGGATTATTTTTGTTTTAACATAACTAGAATATTAACATTCTATTTTTTAACAATTATTTAGCATAACTTTTATTATTCCTTCATTTTTGTACTTTTAATTTCTTTTCCATTTTTTCATTTTTCCTAATTATATATTTTGAATTAACTTTTTAAGTACTTGTTTCAAATATTTTAAGTATTACAGTAAAAATAATAATATATACATATGTTTTTATATACATATTTATGTATGTACATACAGGCATACATATATACAAATGTATAGTAACACTTTAAATATATGTATCTACATACATACATAAATACATACATAAGTAAATTCACAGTTTAAAATTAATTTATACATTGTTCATAAATACATAAATCTATGTATCTACATACATACATATTTAAATTCACACTTTAATATTAATATATACATTGTTCATAAGTAAATTCACAATTTAAAATTAAATGTATGTATCTACTTACATATGTAAATACATACATAAAAATATATATTTTTTTTTTTTGCATTTTTTAAGTTTTCCTAATTATATCTTTTGAATTAATTTTTTTAAGTACTTGTTTAAAATATTTTAAGTATTACAGTAAAAATAATAATATATACATATGTTTTATATAAATATTTATGTATGTACATACATGCATACATATATATACAAATGTATGGAAACACTTTAAATATATGTATCTACATACATACATAAATACATAAAAAAGTAAATTCACAGTTTAAAATTAATTTATACATTATTTATAAATACATAAATGTATGTATCTACATACATACATATTTAAATTCATAGTTTAATATTAATATATACATTGTTCATAAGTAAATTCACAGTTTAAAATTAAATGTATGTATCTACTTACATATGTAAATACATACATAAAAATAATAATATATACATTTTCATTAAATTCTTTTACTTATATCTAAAAAAACGCATTTGTTTATACACGATTTAATTTTTTATATTAAACATTGATATTTCATTATAAATTTTAATATTCATAGTTATATAATGTTGAAATTATCATATATCTAAACAATAGATTCATCAATACCCATAACTAAAAAAAAGTAGTCTTTTTGTACAAAAAAAAAAGACATAAAACAAAAATCAAATTCTTCTGAAAGTAAAAGGTACATAAATCATTGTAGTTTTCTTTGTGCCTTTTTTATTTTAAATTTCTAAGCATGTTCCATGAGCTTAAATCTTTCTTTATACTTCTGCATTGCATTCTTCAACAATGTGTTTTTCTCTTCCTCTGTTTTTTTATCGAATTGTATTCCTTGATCAACTATTTCTTTTCTATTTAAGTTGATGTCATTAAGTAGCAGTTTTGTGAGATACTTTACTCTTAGCTTAGTGAATTTTTCTTTCTGTTGCTTTTGATCCTTCTCAATGTCACAATCCCAACTACTTTGAGCATGTCCTTGAAAACATTCCATATGTCTCATTAATGCCACTACATTTTCCTCAAAATTGTTTTTTAACCACCATTTGATTTTAAATACTAAAATTTCTTTAGTAAGCAAATCAAATGCTTTCTTGAATCCTCCTTCCATCATAAAATTTGCCATCAATGCTACCTGTATTACAAAGAAAATAAATTCAGTCATTTTTATAATTCACAGTTTAATTTCAAATAAATCTAAAATAGTAATTCTTACCAAAGATTGTGGTAATAGCTCATATTCAACTTTAACATTTGGCATTCTTTTATGACTATCAATCAAAACTACTGATAGCTTTTTGATATTTATACATAACAAATAGTAATGCATTTTCTTCTTCATTGGAAAGAATAGTTGCATTGTCAAAGTAAGAATAAAAAACTGTTAGTGTATATATATATATATATATATATATATATATATATATATATATATATATATATATATATATATATAAAAGATTGTTGTAACTTACAAATTCTAGTTTATCAAAAACTTGTGCATATGGATGAAATTTCATTGCTTTTGTTGCTTTTTGATCAAACATTTTACATCTGTCATCCATTGGTATTTCCTCATTTGTCATCTCTTCAGTCTAATTACATATATTACATACTTTTATTCTGTTAGAATTTTCTTAATCTATTAACATATATAAATACATAATATAAATGTTACTTACTATGATTCCTATTTGAAAATAGAATCTTAATGGAGATCCCATTTGTTTTCTGGTCTCATCACCATTTAACAGAATAGACCAGCAATCAATGACTTTGTGGTGTATGTACACATCTGGGATTAACGTTTCAAAAAAAAATATTTCTACTACATCCCCATTTCTTGTTCTGAATATGATTTCCCTGTTAATATATATTAAGTTGTGAATATTTCTAATAAATTAATTTTTGTTTCATAAATTAATTCTAATTAACTTTTTATTAAAAATATTTTCTTACTTGTGGTTCCTTTGCATTGAAAATATTGAGTTTTCAATTTGTTTCTCTTCATTAAATAACACATCTTTTGCTTCCATTGTTCGACCACTGTAATGAGTGAAGTAACTTTCTCCTTTTTCTTTTCTGATGCTTTTTTCTCCATGTTTCTCTACAATAAAAATTTCTTTTCCTTTCCCTTTATTTTCACATTCTTTTTTTGTTTGAATTTGTTCTTCATCTTTTTTTCTTCTCTGTTTATTTGTTCTTCATCTTTGCTTGATCTTGTAGAAGGTTTTGGAGAGTTTACATCATCTTTGATATCTGGGGCTAGTCCAAGTGAAAAAGATGGTTGAGAAGACAGTTTTTGAATAAGTGGTGTACAAGTTGAAGCATTTTTCTTTAAGCATTCTTCAACAACTTTGTCAACCATAGCATAAATTATTGGTGACTCTAATGTTGGTGTGAAAACTGATGATTTTGGAGTAGATTGAGAATCAGTAAGTGATGTTGTTTTTTGAGTTGTATCGACTTTGTCTCCTTCTTCAGTCTCTTCCTATGTTTTTGTTGTTTGATACAAAACCATTTCTTGATGTTGTTCTACATCCACTGTGTTTTCAACTTCAGTGTGTTGTACTTGATTCACTTTCGGTATATACAAAACTATTGCTTTTTGAAATGCAATATCGTTTGTCGGATTTTGATCTTCTGATTCTTCTATTTCCTTTTCAACTTGAACTTCATTTTCATTCACTTTTGATGTTTCACCAATATGCTTCTTGAATAAATTCTCATATTTCATAATCCATCTTTTGATTTTTATGTTATCCAGATGATTTTTTTTGCCTTCACTAATGTCTTTTCCATTCTCTTCTTGAAAGCTAATGCCATTTTGTAATCTTTTTCTATCATGAAGCAAAAACCCTGTAATGTATGTTTTTTGTTAGTTTATTATAAAGATTTCAATTAAACTGTGAAATTCAGATGTAATTCAAACTTTATATAAACATGTGTTAAGTTTTATATTCACATATTAATGATTAATTTTTCTATATTATTATTTTTAAACTTTTTTTTTTTATCATCAAGCAAAATCCTTGTGGTGTATGTATTTTGTTATTTCATTATCAAAATAAAGATAGTAATATTTTCTTTATTATATTCACAACTTAACATCAAATTCACAGTTTAATTAATAATGTCTTTTCATGTGTTATGTTTTATATCAAAATGTTAATATTATATTCGTAGTTTATTAATATTTTATAAGTTGTATTACCTCCAAACCAATATCCTCATTGTCACCTGAATCTGAAAATTCCTCTACATTCTTTTCATTATCTTCCTCATCCAAATCAACATCTTCTTTTTAATCCTCTTGAAGCATTTCCATATTGTCCAAAATTTGTACCATTCCAAAATTTCCATTTGCAATTTCATTTGTTTGTCTTGTTTTCAGTCTCCCATAGTTCCAGAAGTGAAGTGGTATTATTCTTCTGTTAATAAACTGTTGTTGAACACATTGAGTTCTATGCAAATACAGAAGCTGTAAGATACATGAAAACAACATAAGTTTGATTAACATTAGTATTAAATATTTTATTTTATGAGAAATTAATTTAGTTTAAATTATTATTACAATTAGAAATGGTAATGGTCCAGTATAGTAGCTGTTTTTACAATTTTGCTTCCAAATTTTTTTACTTTTAACCAATGTGTGATTGATCTACTTGCACCAGTTGATATTTTCTTTGTTCTCAACTTCAATCAACTTCATCAAAGATCTTGTTTCTATGGCTCCAGATGTTGTTTTCTCTATGATTGACTTGACAAAAAGTACAACGAAGTTTAGCACAAACATCTCATCTGCAGTTTGCGATTGTTCTATTAGATCTACTAGTGCTTGAGTAGACTTTGTAATTTTTGGATGTTGTTCTTTCCATTTAATCAATGTGTTGTTATCTTATTCACGGTCATCAATTGTTTCAAGATCAATGCCTTCATTTTTTAAGCTAAGAATTTCTCCTATTGTTTTTTCTGTTATTGCTATTCTTCCATGTCCTAAGTCAATGGAGTTTGTTCTATGGTTGTAGCTAAACATAGAAAAGAAGCCTATTTTTGAAGGAATTACATCCAATGTCATCTTTAAAACTGATCTTAAGCCTAAGTTTTCTACACACGCTCTTTGTTCAGTGCTCAGTATCTTTACAGCTTTCCGTAAGCTTTGTGTTGCAACCCTTGTTCTTAATGGTTGAAACTTCTCATCATCTTCTCCATGATTTGTTTTAGTTTTTTTTGTTTTTCTTTTTTATTGTTTGTTTTTCTTTCTGTTTCTTTCCTTTTTTCTCTGTAAAAATTTTCATTATGTAATGATAAGGAACTGTTATATGAGAAATTAAAAAATTAATCAATTATTTGTATATAGTTTTAAAATGTACCTTGAACTTCTTGTTCTTTTTCCTTTTTCTTCATTTTCTGCTTTTTCTTCTTGTCAACAACTTTATCTTCATCAAAATTCACAAGTTAATAGAAAATTCACAGTTTAATCATGAAAATATACTTAAGAAACGTTTTATATTGTACCTTGATTTTTTTGATGTATGTTGTTAGGTGTTTGCAACCTTGTTTGTCTTGTTGTCCCTTTAAGATATTTATCTTTCTGTTTTGATTTTTTTTTCAAAATGTTTTTACCCTTATCTGAAAATGTAATTAATAGGAAAATGAAATTTTATGATTTTTAAAAATAATCACACTTTTAAACCATTATCATTATTCACAAGTGAATACCATTATCTTAAATTTATAAATCCATAAAATCATTAATATATATTCACATTATAAACTTCAACATTCATAATTCAAAATTATTATTACAATATCAGTTTAAAACTATTTTTATATTCAAATCTATAAAATCTCAAATTCACAGTTTAACACAGTGATACTTTTTAAAAAAAATCGTTATAACATAATAATCATCTAATACTTTTTCATTTTTGCAAGTTTTTTGAATTTATTTAGTTTTTATACTGTATTTAGGGTTTTACCTTTTTTGATGACGGTTGTTTTGTTTGTAGGTTCAGATTCGTCTGTTGAAATCATCCTCTTCAATGTTTGTTCTTTTTCAGATGTAGTTTTGATCGTTGTGAATTGAGCTTCTTCAGCTGAAATATTCGTCGCCATTCCTTCATCAATTGAATTATCTGTCGATTTTTTTCCAAATTCTATTGTTTTACGCCTTTTTGTCATCGTATTGAATAGATTTCTGTAGAATTCTCGTTCGATTATTTCCAAATCAGTAGAATAGAACGAAGATCGTGTTGCAGTGAATTGAATGAGGGAGTTTTGTTGTTTCGAAAAAGTCGTGAATTTAATTAGGGTTTTGATTTGTTCCGGCATATTAAAGAATCGGGTAATATGTTTTGAATATTCACGAAATTGCTACCGTGTTTTTTTTTTCTTAAATGATACATAGTAAACCTTCTATTTCGTGAGAATTACAGCTTATGTCATTCCGTGTTTTAACAATAATTTCCCTTAATTAGTTGGTTCTTAGGTTCTTAATCTTTTTGGTTCTCATTTGAACCTTTACCTATATATATATATATATTTATATATATATATATATATATATATATATATATATAATATATATATATATATATATATTATATATATATATACACACACACACACACGAAAAGTTTTAGGCATGTGCTAAGCACAACCCATAAATGGTAATTCGGATATTTCTTTTACCGTTATCTACAGTATATTTGCACATAACAAAAAAAGTAAAAGTGCAACGCTATAAATGTGTTGATTTTAAAATTTTCGAAGTCAATTCAATGTAGACATGTTTTATGAGATAATGTTGATCATATAAATTAATAATATTGTGCTTGTCTAGAGCGCTCGTAGTATAATAGTACTACAACCAAGACACCAATAATAAATCAAGGTGTATATTAGGATAACCACCAAGATATATATATATATATATATATATATATATATATATATATATATATATATATATATATATATATATATATATACATATAATATTCTTGACATTCGTGGAAGGCAACATAGATCAAGATCCGAGATCCACATCTTATGGCTAAATCATCGATTTTTGACATTAACTGACCCAGTAGAATAGAGAGTTTTTGACAGATATCCAATTATATTGCACAATCCAACTTATAGCCTCAAAACCTTTTTATGAAAACTTAAAAACATCAGTCAAACCATACATCTCAACACTGTAATCCTGTAATCATACTTTAAATGCATATATATATATATATATATATATATATATATATATATATATATATATATATATATATATCTTAAAACACGATAAATGTCAAATAGTAGCAGATAGAGCATGAATGTATAGTAAAGTAAGAATATTGTTTACTAAAATGATCAACTACTTTTAAATACATGTGTATAAGAGTTATGCCCTCATCAAAATTTTAACATCCTATGTAGATGCCTCTTTACACTCTTGTATGAATTTAAAATTCATCAATTACATATAAATCTTTATCATAGATGAATCTCTACACTTCTGTATGAATTTAAAATTCATCAATTACATATAAATCTTCGTAACCATGTCAAAAGTATCCTAACTTAAAAGAAGAACCAGAGTATCTGGTAACACATAACAAAAACTATTTATAAACAATTATAGCTTCACTTTGTAATTGGGTTTTAAAGAACATATGATGTTTAATAACACATTGTCCTGCACTTCCGGTTTCAATTTATCAGTTTTACTTAGTGTGGGGATGAATAAAAGATTATGTTGGTCCTTTTTTTTTCATAAAAATGGATAGTAGCAATTTTTGTTTGGGTTGGTATTTGAAAGGTCTTTGGCCTAACGGTAAAGAGTGATCCACTCATTTTAGAGGTTATGAGCTCTAATGCCATTTAAGAAATAAGGGGTAATTAGGAGTAGATTAGTTTTCTGTTTAAAAAAACATGTGTACCGAAGTTTGTTCGAAAATATTAAGCCAATGAAGTTAATATTAGTCCCACCACTAGTCTAATGCAAAAGTTAAAGGAATGTACGTCTAAATTTACAAGAAATGAAGGTAATGATTAACGCCTAGGAAGTTTAGGCGAAATATAAGTATTTAACTGCCCATAGCTGATCAAGCAGTCTATCTTCTTGTCCCAAGTTGATATTTCCAAATAGTACGAATCTTTTAAGCATATTTTATTCTGTTTGATTTGGCTTTCTTTGTTTTCTCCCTTGTATGATCTAAGATAGCGTCGATTAAAGAAGACACATGCAACTGAATGAAATTTGGGATTTGAATGAGAACTTAGATAAAACAAATGTTATATTCTTTATTCATGCGTACTGTACTATAACTTGTTAGACTTCCCAAAGTAGTATGCTTTAATCTTGGCGAAAATATCAAGATCAACAAAATGAAGCTAAATGATTTGTTTAGCCAGATGGAATGGAAAGAAATTCTAATTTAATATAAAATATGAAAATTTCTAGACAATAATTGTGTCTCTACAATTCATATATACATAGAAAAAAAATTATATTGCAATTTTAATGTCATTCCATGATTAAATGAAAAAAAAGGAACATCCCATTCATTTCTTTAACGTATGTTAAAAATGTATTATAATATTAGAATTTAATAATCCCAATATGTATTACCCTTTTGTTGGATGGAGGTCCTCTAGTTTATCATCAACACTTCGTTTATAAGAAACCCAAATAGATGTTTATAATAAAAAAAAGAGTCAAAATCCTACTAAACATTTTTACATCCAAAGTACAATGCTAAAACGAGGAAAGAGTATCACACTTACTATGTCGTGTGCCACAAATAATCTGAAGAATCTTTAGTAACAATAAGTTGCTCCAATAATCGGCTCATTGTAAATACATTGTCATCGTGGATGTGAGGAAATCATTTTCATTAATGTGGGTTGTGTACTTATCTATTGAATACCCATAAAAAATGAAAAAAAAAAGTAAATAAATAAGATACAAAAATAACAAAAAAATATAATTTTTCTTACCCTTGTGCCATTTTAAACAATATTTTGCATAAGCATCTAATATTCTGGTGCATTTGTTGATGTGATCTATACCAACAACAAAAAGTTTCAGAATTTGAGCAATCATACATGCACATATTAGGATTAAAATAAAAAAATAGTAAGTACGCATATTAAGATCCTTACAACATCTCGTTCATGTTTTCACCAATAAGGAGTTCCATTTTGTTGCAACGTTACTCTTTTTTTTCTGGTGACAAAAGTTGTCCAACCTCTACAATGATAAAAAAACAAATGTTCACCTGTCAGATTATATAACATGCTTTAAACCGTAAAACGAAATGAAAACAAGAAATAAAGTGATAAAATATAAATAACATCATAAACCTTTTTTTAAATCTTCCTCAATCGGGCTTGTGGACCAACTTTCCATATTAATTGGGGTTTCTAAAGCATCCTTCTCTTCCTTCTAGTCACTTTCAAAGTCAAAATTTATCTCTTTCATGTTACTTCTTCTTCAGTTTCATGATCACTACTATCAGGATCTTCCTAATTTCCTAAGTGAGTAGTGGAAAAAAAGTTTATTGAGGGTTAAATGCAAAATTTTAGGGTAACAAGTTCCCTTAATGCAGGAAACCTAGATGTTTTTTTTCTCTTAATATATGGTGACTAATCATATGAACGAATTTGATATAGGTGGAGTTACATGAAGCTAGAGTAATAGTAACAACAGAAGAATTGAAAGGTAGTTTTACTGTCCCTGCTCCTGTACCATTGTTGATCATCATTAGTGTGTTGTTTTTTGAAATAAATGATATAGTCCATACCGGATAACAGCAACAGTGAAACAGTCGGCTTACACAATTATAAGAATTTATAGAAATGGAAGTAGATATCAATCGTCCATCATGTATTGAGTAATTTTTCCAATGGGTGAGTAATTCGTGAACGAAACTATTTTTGTGAACATATATATATATATATATATATATATATATATATATATATATATATATATATATATATATATATATATATATATATATATATATATATATTGATCACATGCTCTTTAACTTCATCTGATATGTCAGGGTTATCAAAACAAATGCCGCCTAAATCTGGTTCTAGATGAGATTCTAGTACTTTTCATGATTTCCTCCCTCTTTAGGGCCTCCAGACAGGCACTTATGCAGTAACTTATACTTTTTACTCAATAATCATGAAAATTTTTAAACAAATTAACCATGAAATGGAAACCAATATAAGCCCGCTACTGTAAGTAAAACTAGAAAAGTTTCAAGAGGCTGAAGAGCCATTTCAATCAAGAATCCCATAAAGAAAAGAGTAAATTATATCATGGAATGATGGAAGCAATTAAATTTCAAGAAAAAAAAGGATCGTATATAGACATAACAGATCGATACCATGCCATTGGGAGAGGGAAAATGGTAAACCTAAAGTCTGGGTTGTGGTGATGTTTAAATTGATAACACGAATAGAGAAAAAGAGTAAGAACAAGAAACGATATGTACCAATTGGCTTCTTCTTTGAAGTCTGATTCCCATTGGATGTAAAGAGGAAGTCGTGGCATGAGAAGAATCAAAGACAGTAAATGAAGAGATGGAGAAAAATCGAGATAGAGAACCATAAATCCTCTGTTAGAAACCATGCGGTCATCAATTATCAAGCGACAAAAATGAACTGGAACTTGCTTTTCGTCAGTGAAATTAGGGTTTTTTTTTATGAATATTGTCATCGGTGGTAATGTAATAGGGAAAGGAAATCGCAGACTTGGTGATTATGTCAATATGCATAATGTGAGACATTGAAGGAGAGTGAAGAACGTCTGTTGTGGTACATTGCATTCGTTCGAAAAATAGGGTACATGGCACAAAAGAAACCCTCCAAATTTGATTTTGGAGAAAGGAGAAAAATAGGGTTTTATATATAATAATGATATATATATATATATATATATATATATATATATATATATATATATATATATATATATATAGTTGTAGAACTCGTTACTCGTTATCTGTTCGAACAACTACCGAGTAGTGAGTACTCGGGAGTACTCGGGGAGTACTCGGATTTGGTAATTTATGCACAGATAGTTTTAGAGAAGTTATATATGTCAAAATCATAAGTTAACAACCAAAAGTTGATTGAAATATATAACAAAATTAGATACATGTGAATACACAAAAATTAAAAAACACACAATGATATCACTTCATGAATAGTTAATGAAAATTTAATATATATATATATATATATATATATATATATATATATATATATATATATATGGTAATAATCATATGTGTGTGTTAAATAATAAACCA